CAGCCGTAACGTTCCTTCACTGTGCTTTCTCTATAAATGCTTTCATAGTAATTGTTCTGAAGGACTTTACATCTATGATACACAAACTCTACAATTTTAAGCGCAGTACTGAATTCGCAGCAATTTCTAATTTTACTGTTGAAATGTTATAGATGTAACCGTAAGTTCTATGGTAACAGTTTCTTCTATCGTACTTGTCGCTTGGTGTAACTCTCTTCCAGCTTCTTGTTTCCCAGACCAATTTGACCATCTAAAATTTAAATGCAATGTCAATCGTTACACCCGATCTTCTTACATTTTGTTCTTTTATTGTACTCTATCATTAATAATGTTCTTTTCTCATATCCTCTAACAATCAGTAACTCTTTGCGTATTAGTGGCTTTATTTTGCGTTTGAAATGTTGATATAAATATATATATATATATATATATATATATATATATATATATATATATATATATATATATATATATATATATATATATATATATATATATAAAAATAAAATATATTATATAAAAATTATTTATATTATTCGGACTATTGTCCTCATCTTTGTAGCCATATTTATCACCCATCAGTATCTGTCTATATTTCTGAGATGAGGTATTATGTACACTATTTACATTATTCGGACTTATATGTCATATTTATCGCAACGTTTAAGCCGTTATACGCTCCTGGCTTCTTCAGGAGGTTGGAATGTCGAACTGAACCCTTTTATTTCTCTCACTGGGGTAGACTGATCTAGTGCCTGTCTAATGGAGGTCGTTTATCAGTTATCTCCTGTTAATTTACCTCTCCAAGTTCTCCACCGCCTTAACCAGGTATTGAACTCACAACTCTTTGGGTCTTGTCACTGGATTTAACCAATGTCTTTATCCCCTGTGCCATGTGTCCTTAAAGATATCAGTGTATGAATTTCTGGGACTTAATATCTTCAGCCATCATTTTTACAAGCACTCATATTGCAATTTTTCCTGTTATGATTGTATATTTTCACCAGAGCTCATGTTGCAATTTTCTTTGTTAATTTTGCTTTTCTCTGGCACCCCTTATTACTGGTTCCCATATTGTATTCATTTCTATGCTTGGTCGGCTTAGTTGATCTGTCTATATTTCTGAGATGAGGTATTATATACATAATTTACATTATTCGGCGTATTGTGCTCATCTTTGTTGCAATAGTTATTACAACGTTTCGGCCGTTGGACGTTCCGACTTTTTTCTGCTAGGCCACAAAAATCTCATTGAACTAGAACAGTCTACCTCAGCGAGCAAAATAAAGATATGAGCTCGACATTCCAACCATCTGAAGAAAGCCGCAGCGTACAACGACCGAAACATTGTGATTCTATCTTTCTTCTTGCTTTTTAGGCGCTGTTGATAATGCGTAGAATAAGCACTACACACTTCCAAATAGTACCTCCCACATATGAAATTAAGGCTAATATATTTAAATATAAACAACTAATATTTATCTAACCGCGAACAAAGTAAATACAGATATACTTATATGTATGCAACAGATGTTTACTCATAACTGAAACATGTAAATATAGTAAAACCCAAATAAACATTTAAAATATTTACTTCAATCTGAACCACGTCAATTTTTATCACCTCGGGTATGAAAAAATCCCTTATTCTTCTTTTTTGAATATACGCTCTTTTAGCGCTAGAGGGCGTCGTCAGTGATGTTCTAGAAAAGGATCATTGGGCAGTTTCGGGTCTTTCAAACATCATACTGACCTCACCAAATCGACCCCCTCAGAGCTGATCAGACTCTGAGACACCCTCTAAAAAATGCTTGTAGACACCGACTATAAATATACCCCGTTATCATACATTTGATTGGAGATTGACCAACAGCCAATCGCAACGGTGCGAAATCTATTTAAACCGTTTACGGGTGATTTTTTTCTTTTTTTCATTTTCTTTTTTTCAGTGGACACCCCTTCATCGGATACTTAGAAGGTAATTATGTTTTCCGTTTTTACTCACTTCCTATCAAGTTTCATTTCACCAGCTAATAATTACTATTTACAGAGATAAAAAAAATAAAAAAATACGGCCATTAAAATGAATAAATAAATTACAGCGAATTAAGCCGAGGGTACTTATAAATATAATGAAACGTTTAAAACTATTTACGAATAAAAAATAAATAAATAAATTACAGCGAGTTAAAACCGAGAGATCTTATAAATTACATAATAGAACATTTAATATAAACGATCAATGTCTACCTATCTCGGAAACAAGTACATGCTTACAGATTCATATATAAACGACCTCCAGTCACGTAAATGACGAATATTTACTTAACCATGACCCAACTACATGCTCATAGACTAAACTATAAACCATAAATATCTACCTACCCCGGAACCAAGCAAATGCTTACAGACTCAAATATAAACGATCAATTTTTACCTACGCTCCATCCACGTAACTCTGTTTAGATTCAATTATAAACAACGAATAATTACTTAACCATGACCCAACTAAATGCTTATAGACTCAAATATACACAATCAATATCTACCTACCCCGGAACCAAGCAAATACTTACAGACTCAAATATAAACGATCAATTTTTAGCTAAACTCAAACCACGTGACCCTGTTTAGATTCAACTATAAAAGACGAATATTTACTTAACCATGACCCAACTAAATGCTTATAGTCTCAAATATAAACGATCAATATCTACCTATCCCGGAACCAATTAAAAGCTTACAGATTCGAATATAAAAGACCAATTTTAACCCACCCTCCAACCACGTAACCCTGTTTAGATTCAACGATAAGCGGCGAATATTTACGACCCAACTAAATGTTTATGGACTCAAATAGAAACGATCAGTACTATCTATTCCGGAACCATGTAAATGCTTATAGTCTAAAACATATATTCTTATACTCAAATATAAAAGACCGATATCTAACTATACGCTAAGCAAGTAACTGCTTACAGACCCATTTACCAGAAATGTGTGATGCCAGACCTGCGAAATCTTGCTAGCATTAATATTAGCTCTTATTATTATTAAGTGCTTTGTTTATTTCCAGGTAAACTCACATTAGATTGTTCAAAGAAGTCTGTTTATTCTCTTAGTCATAAAAGTCATCAACAACAGATATGATGTCAACATCCCTGCTATACGTGTTGCCAGACAAGACTTTTTTTTTTCATGTAGGGGAACAGATGATAGTTCAGTCAGGGTATAGGGAAGGTGATCAAGAGTTTCAAATCTACAGTCACACACATTAGTTATTTAAACCAAGACGTGTATGTAGATTTATCTTGATAAAACAAGACCGCGTCCGTTATTTTCCTGGGCATTTTGTCTTGATAGACTTTTGTAACTGCGTCAGTAAGTTTGTATAGTACTCCTCATTGATATTGTGGCCTTTTTGAAGATAGTCAATAAGCAATGCCTTTTGCATCCCAATCAATTGAGGCACCATCCTTGCCTGCTGATGAATCGACTTTGGCCTTCTTTGGAGACTGCATGCATGAATATTCTAGAGGCAAACCCCTTTTTTTGGCAGGTAACTGATAACACAACAATACTATTTTTTTTCTATTTTCAAGAAAAGTCACTACTAGTTATATTTAACGTATCCTTTGTACAGTCAGATGTCAGATTACCTGGAAAGAAACAATGCAGTTATTAACAAGAAGTGTAGAAATTGATGCTTACAATAATTTTTACTATTAGTATCCCTCCTATAGAGCCTGCATTTGGGGCACCTCAGCATGGTGTAATGGTTAGCAAGCATGTCTGGCTAAAACAATTACGACTGAGAAGTGAGTTCGATCCTCGTTGGGTGTCCCATAATTTCGACCTTTTGCCACAGCTAAGCTACTCTTAGAAAATCAATATAGTCTGCATTTGAAGTTTCCAGCCACCCATATATAATACTTACCTATCGCTTGACGAAATAAATAGACAGGGTGTTCGCCAAAATTTCGCAGGCCAATAATTTTGGAAGTTCTTGTTGAAAAAAACCTCTTATTTTCACAGAATGTATAGAAACAGATCAAGATTTTATATGTAATGGAAGAGGACAGTACGTGATTATCTCAACGAAAATCTGTCAGAGAGATGGATCGGACGTGATGGAGATGATGACAGTTTTCTGATAAAATGGGCGGTCACCGGACCTCACCCTGTGAGATTTCTTTTTATAGGGATATGTGAACGGACTGGTCTATATACACCCTCTTCCTGCTAGCACTGATGAACCCAAGCAGAGAATCACTTCAGCAGTGCATAATGTTCCGGGAGACATGCAACAGCGTGTTTGGCAAGAGCTTAACTACCGAGTAGGCGTATGCCGTGTCACAGCCGGTGCACATATTGAACACTTATAAAATAACTGAGACATCCGGAAAGAGGTATGGAACGTGGAATAAGAACAATCTACACCGCTGGACGAAATAAAGGGTTCGGTTCGAAATTTCAATCATCTGATGAAGGCCGAAGTGTACAATGGCCGAAACGTTGTGAATATATCAGTGGAGATGAGGGTAACAGTCCGACTAATGTAAATAATGAGAGCTAAGAAATGTAGGCACAAAAACAGGAACACAACTATTAAAATGAGGATGACTTAGGAAATTGAAAAATGAAAAGAATGAAAAGGGAGAACAAGGAACAAATGATCAAGATGTAATGGAGGCAAAGAAATAAATGAAAAGAATATTTGAAAAAAAGAATAAGAAGTATATAAATAATTGGAAAAATAAAAGGAAAGAAAAAGAAAGAAAAAAGAAGAAACGAAAACGAAGATGGAGAAATGGCGAAACAGAGGAAAGTAAGAAAGAACCATTAAAAAGGAAAGAAAGGAAGAAAAAGAAAGGAAGAAAAAAAGAAAGAAGAAGAAATGCCGAAATTGTGCAAGAATTAAAAATGAGAAAAGTACCATTAAAAAGGAAAATCCCCCTCCTTTTCAAAGGTACTTTTCTCATTCTGATTCCCTACTTTTTCTAAATCAGAAGAAGAATAGAAATGAAGGGTGTCACAGAGGAAGGAACATGAGAAAAAAAATAAGTATTAGGAAGCGGAGAAAGGAAAGAAAATGAAAAAAAAATATTGTGAAGAAGGAGAAGAAGAATGAGAAGAAAAATAAGAAAAAAAAAAGTGGGAAGAAAAGAAAGAAAGAAAGAAAGAAAGAAAGAAAGAAAGAAAGAAAGAAAGAAAGAAAATAAGTGCCAAAACTGAGCAAGAATTTAAAATGAGAAAATGGCCATTAAGAAGAAAAGTGATTTGGAAAAAATAAGGAAGAAGAATTTAAAAGAAGAAGAATCCGGAGGTGGGGGGAGGAACAATAAAACAAAAATATTTGAAAGAACGCGAAGAAAAAAGTAAATAATTGGAAAGAAAGAAAGAAAGAAAGAAAGAAAGAAAGAAAGAAGTAATAAATGAAAAGAAGAATAAGTGGCGAAACTATACTAGAATTATATACGAGAATTTAAAAAAATGAGAAAAGGAACAGTAAGAAGGAAGGTGAAGAAGAAGGATAGTGAATAATAATAATAATAATAATAATAATAATAATAATAATAATAATAATAATAATAATAAGAATAAGGAGGACACGTGAAAAACATAAGAAAATGACATATCAGGAAGCAGAAAAGAAACGAATAAAATTATTTCAATAAAGAAGGGATAGGTTGTATAAGAAGAATTTGCAGTGAACGATGAATAAAAAGAAAAGTGGCTACTTAGTTAATTTTCTTCAAAGTGGGACTTTGACTTAAAATTTTCTTTTAATGAAGGAAAAGAAAAAAAAAACTGATTACAAAATTTCTTCTTTATTCCCTTTTATCGTGCGTCATTTTGATTTCAATTATCGTCACTTACTTTCTGATGCACTACTTAATCGTCTCCCTCCTCGCCACCGTGTCACCTTTTCTCTTCCAGATCCCCGTCATGTTCCTCTCCTCGGGTCATCAGCGTCAACTTGCCCTAGTTCCTATCATTCAAAACTCCATCCTGACTCCCTAACATTCTGAATGCTTAATGTTGTTCTTTTTTTTTTTTTACCCATCTTTAGTATTAACGTCATATAACTTCAGATTATTTCATGTGTGCGTGTGTGCGCGTGCGTGATTTGCTACTTCCGCTTTCGTTATTTTCTTTTCCTAGACTTTTATTTCGCATCTTATTCAGACCTTAATCATCATTCATCATTTAAAACTTTTCATCCTTCTATTTTTTTATGGGTTTTCATCCTCTCTCGCTTTCTTTATTTTTTTCCTGCTGCTTCTAATTCTTCTATTGTTGTTCAAAATTCGCTATCTTTAATTTCTTCTTCTTCTTCTTCTTCTTCTTCTTCTTCTTCTTCTTCTTCTTCTTCTTCTTCTTCTTCTTCTTCTTCTTCTTCTCTCAGCTACGTCGTTCTTAAAGCGCTCTCCGTTACTTTTATATTGCTGCCACATATGATCCGGTTCTCCTGCTATATATCTAGAGATCCTTAGTGAAATCCAAAGAAGAATCAGCAATATTATTGGTCCTGTTCTGGCGTCTCGGCTTCAGTGACTTTTCCACCGCCGTAAATTTGCCTCCTTTTACATTTACATAAATACTTTCATGGCAACTGTCATGTAAATGTAAATAAGTTCATGGTACCTAGACTTTATTTATTTAAGCGCAATACTCAACTGGCGTCGAGATCTCAATTCAGAGTCGAGCTGGCTAGATGTAACTGTAATTTTTATGCTAACAGTTCTTTTTCTCGCACATCTCACTTGAGGAACTCTAATCCGGTTCTATGCTTTCCAGCCAACTTTAATCTTCAAAAATTTAAATGCAATACCAATCACTATCTACTGTCCTCCTGATTGCAACATCTTTTGTTTTCGGTTCTTAGTAATATTTCTGTTTATTAATACTTCCACACCCAGTAACCCCTTGTGTCTCAGTGGCTTTACCGCCTTGCTTGGGGTGAACTCGATTAAAGAATGTAGGAAAAGTGTGAAAGAAGAGGAAAAGAAAATTACTTTAGTTGGTTTTGTTCGGCATATCAACATCTCTAAGGGTTATTTAATGGCAAAATCTCAATATTTTGAACACAGTTTTCTGCCTTCAACAAGCGATATTTACTACATATTTTTTATACTTTCAGGGTAAATCCACGCCTTTTTAGACATATATATATATATACATATATAGATTTTAGATAATAAAATATATTGTTGGTCATTTCTTTGAAGAATTCATTTTCATATAAATATAGATTTTTATTCTTTTTTAGCATTGTATCGATTTTCACTTGCTTTAAAATGTACTGTTGGTCATTTTGGTATAATATGTAGTGGTTGTAATTTTATTATAAAATGTACTGTTAGTTATTTTGGTATAAAATGTATTGGTGGTAATTTTATTATAAAATGTACTGTTGGTTATTTTGGTATAAAATGTATTGGTGGTAAATTTATTATAAAATGTACTGTTGGTCATTTTGGTATAAAATGTATTGTGGATTATTTTATTATGAAATGTACTGTTGGTCATTTCGGTATAAAATATATTGTAGGTCATTTTATTATAAAATGTATTGTTGGTCATTTTGGTATAAAATATATTGTGAGTCATTTTATTATAAAATATATTGTTGGTCACTTTGGTATAAAAATGTATTGTTAGTCATTTTATTACAAAATGTATTGTTGGCCATTTTGGTTAAAAATGTATTGTTGGCAATTTTATTATAAAATGTATTGTTGGTCATTTTATTATAAAATATATTGTTGGTCATTTTCGTATAAAAATGTATTGTTGGTCACTTTGGTGTAAAAATGTACTGTTAGTCATTTTACTATGAAATATATTGTTGGTCATTTTATTATGAAATATATTGTTGGTCATTTTATTATAAAATATATTGTTGGTACTTTTATTTTAAAATGTATTGTTGGTCATTTTATTATAAAATATAGCGTTGGTCATTTTGGTATAAAAATGTATTGGTGGCCATTTTATTATAAAATGTATTGTTGGTCATTTTATTATAAAATTTATTGTTGGTCATTTTTGTATAAAAATGAATTGTTGGCCATTTTATTATAAAATGTATTGTTGGTAATTTTTTAAAAAATCTATTGCTGATATTTTTATTATAAAAATATTTTTGTACTTTCATTGTGTTTTTATTTATTTCATTTATTTATTTATTTATTTTTTTGTTTGGTGGTTCAATATTTGCCTATAGCTTGAATTGTAACACGTCCTACCACTTCGGGCTAGGTGGGACTTGCGAAAACCTCCAATCTTCCGATCAGTAGGACTTGCTGCCGGATGTAGTTTATCGTCATACCCAGGACTACTCATTGGGTGGGGGATCTTACACCTCAGCAGAGATGAGGTTGGCGCATTCTACAATCCCAGACGACAGGACCTAGGGAAAAAAGAGGAAATGATAAAAGGTAGAGAATAAAAGAGAAAGAGGAGTTAGCGAGCAAAAGAGTAATTGTAGAAGAGGCGGGAAATAAGAGAGAAAGAGAGAGAGAGAGAGAGTGAGAAAGAGAGGGGGGAATATAGAAAGTGAATGGAGAAGAAGAGAGGGACGAGTGAGTTAGAGAGAGAAAATAAAAGAGGAGATAAGAGGAGGAAATAAGATAAAAACAATGAAAGAAAGTAACCGCAAAAGAATTCAGTGAAGAAAAAGAGAGTATAAATAAACAGTGAGTGGGTCATGAGAGAAAAGACGGGAAGAGAGAAAGAATGAGAAGTAAAGGGTGCAAGCAAAGTGTGTAATGGAAAATAAGAAGAAAGATTAAAAGAAGAGGAGGAGAAGGAGAATAATAAATAAGAGACAATAGAAAGATGTTGATGAAGTAAAGTGGGGAAGAAAAAAGAGAGAAAAAAGATATAACAGTTGAATAATCTAGAAAGATGGGGAGGCGAAATATAAAACAATAAGAGAGAGTGGTAAAGAAAAGACTCCAACGGGAGAAAGGGAGAAGTGGGGGAAAGGAAAGAGATTTAAAGAAGAGAGAGTGAAGAGTGAGAGGTTAAAAAAGTGTATTAATTGAAATAGAGAGGAAGATTAAGGAGACGGCAAAGCACGATATAGAGAAGAGGGGAAGCGATACAATAAAACGTAAAGTGGGAGAAAAGAATAAAATCACTGAGTGGGGAGAATAAGATAGAAAAAGTAAGAGAGAAGGTGAATAAATAAAGAGAAGTATATGACTAAGGGACACTGATATGTAAAAGAGAATTATGGACAAGAGGGAGATATGGAGAGGAAGAGAAGGAAATGAAGAATGAGCTGGCACAAAGTGGGAGGAAGTGGCGTCAAATACAGATTTTAAATGTACTGGATATGATGCAAACAAGCGAGCAGCTTATAGGTTGACATTACAAGCCTCAAGAACGTTATCTCATCTGGAAACTTCGGATTAACATCACTTCGCCAAATCGCGAAAAGTGCGTTCTCTTTTCAAAAGAGTCTAATTCCGGATTTTCTTAATTGATCCTCCCTTCTTTCCAGATTCCCTGGCCTTCCCTCTTTTCCTGTCGTTCGTGGCTTCCTGTTTATTAATCACAGTTTAATCCCTTTATCTCTGATCTTAGTCAATTTTAAAATGGCTGCCGCGTGCCAAAACAGTCGAATGATATCCTCTTATTTCATAAAACAGACACAGTTATCTCGTTCTCTTTCCGCTTTACGTTGTTTGTGTTAGGATAATAGCTAGCGATAGGTGACACTTCATTCGACCTCTGACCTTCACTGGTTGAAAACTAATAAGTGGATAAATTCTTCCTTTGAGATGAGGAAGATCTCTGATGCGACAGAGATGCAGTCCTACAGAAAGATGCTGGGGACGCCATGGCTAGAATATTGATATAATGGAATATGCATACACCTGTGTTTCCCCTCACTGGAATATGATTGGCTGGTGTCCGTCATAAATACTGACGGACATGTAGGAGAATCAAAGAGCCTTAGTCTGAGAGCTAAGTCTATAACGACGCCCATTGGACTACGCCATTGATCTACACTTCTTACCTGCGACTACGACGCGTACCAGTCGATTACTGCTACCATATTCTACTTGGTTATAGTAGCCAAAACCACTTAGCGACTTCGTTCAAATATATCCCTTTCCGGGATATATCAAATATGTTAGCAACGAGATAGTTTTAAGAAAAAGTGGAAACGAAAAGGACACATTTGCTTAAGATTAGAAATTGCTAGGACGCATATTAAAGAAAGATGGCCGGAATATTTGAGACGCACATCGCATATTGAATTCAAGAGCAGAGGGTAACTATATCTGTCTATATCTCTGAGATAAGGTATTATGATTACTTACATTATTTACATTATAAGTCCCAAAAATTCATACACAGATATCTTCAAGGACACATAGCACAGTGGATAAAGACGTTAGTTAGATCCCGTAAGTAGATCCAAAAAGTTGTGAGTTCAATACCAGGCCACAGTGGTGAACCAAAACTTGGAGAGTTGAGTTAAAGGGAAGTAACTGAGACATCTGAAAGAGGCAGGGCATGTGGAGAATCTGACCCGGCGGACGAAATAAAAGGGTTCAGTTCGAAATCCCAATCACCTGAAGAAGACCGTAGCGTACAACGACCGAAACGTTGTGAATATGACAGCGAAGATGAGGATAACTGTCCGAATAATGTAGATAATACAAGAAACTGTCAGCATAGAACATACAGTTATATCTAGCCATTTCGAATAGTACTGCGGTTAAATTTTTAAAAAAATGTTGGAAACATATATGAAAGCTCACCAGAAATATTTTCTGTAAATGAACGGCGGTAAAGTGACTGAAGGTGAGATGCCAGGCTTTGCAGATTCTTCTTTGGATTTTATCAAGTATATATAGAAGAAACACCAGGGCGGCTGTAGCAGCATTATCTAAAGCAAGGAAAGCAAGGAAAAATGGCGGACTTATAAATATGAAGATAGCTTATGTCGAGAAAATAGTTTATCACGAACCAAATTTCCTAGTAACAGCCTTAGCAATACATGAAATATATTACATCACAATAATCTTCCAATATGGATCATCTATCAGTTCAGACCTTTACTCTACACAGCGGCGAAACTTTCTCCTTTCCTGCATATTCTACTGGTAAGATGAAGGTCAATTTGGACGATTTCTTCTTAAGAGCTGTTTCGTTGAGGAACAGTCACCCGAGAGAATGCTTCCTCGATTAATACAATCTTAACATTTCAGGGTTAATCGTTATATACCCATAATATATTCATAATCTGCACTTCTTAACTCGTCCGTTTATGTCTTTATAATAACTCCATTAAGTAACTTTGACTAGCACTAGGGCTTTCCGGTGGGTGAGGAAAAAAACATGACTGTTTAAAGATTCAGTTGGCTTTTATCAGAGCAGTAAAAATGGACATAAAATATTAAAATATATAATATAGAAACAAAAGGGAAAGATAAAGAAAACAGATACAATTACGAAAGAAATTAGTCAGGCATATATATATATATATATATATATATATATATATATATATATTACGTCACACATTATGAAATGGACAAAGTCCGACAATTATTTTAGGGTATTTTATGTTTATACATTTTTTATAGATACAAATATTTAAGCAAACGCTCTGTTTGTAATAAACATATAGGATACAGGTTCGAATCCTGTAGGAGGACGAATATTTTCTGTGAAAATTTCTCGGACATTAAGGCCGGTAAATGTTGTTTAATACTGTTTATTATAAACAGAGCATTTACTAAGATATGTGTATCTATAAAAAAGAATGTATAAACATAAAATGTCTTTATATATATATATATATATATATATATATATATATATATATATATATTATAAGACTAGCTTAGATGTGGTAAAAAACGAAACTAGGAAGCACCCAGTGAGGATCGAATACACTATTCAGTCGAAATTAATTTTTACTAACCATTAAACCACATTGAGGTACCCATATATATATATATATATATATATATATATATATATATATATATATATATATATATATATATATATATATATAATTAATAATAGAGATCTTATAAGTACTATACTCGCTCGAAAAACCTTCGGTGTGTTGATTTGAAAACAAACAAGCCAATACCAAAGTGAAAAAAAGGTATAAAAAAGAAAGAACCAAGAACATGTACGTCAGCCGAAAATAATCGTCTAGCATACGAGTCCAAGGCCCAAAGAAAAAAAAAACCTATACCAGTACCCAACATAACTAAAAAAATTGGTCAATACAATGAACAGAGCAGACATAGTTAAACCTAGAAAGCCAGACAAACTTAACAAGGTTTCACCTAAGCGGGTCATCAGGGAAAGCTTAGGTGAAACCTTGGTAGGTTTGTCTGGCTTTCTAGGTTTAACTATATATATATATATATATATATATATATATATATATATATATATAGGCTTCGATGAGTAAATTATCGAGATTTTATATTTTATTTTCGCACATGTGCGTTGTCTGTTCAGGATTCACTGCCATATAAGAGGACTGATATTGCATAACAGTTCAGTATATATTTCTTGCTTAATATTTTGCTTAGCTTTTGAAAGGCCTCTTTCGTTATCCCAATGTATCTTCGGATTTCAGTATTGTAAATTTGTAAATTGATCTGTTTCTTTCGCTGGCAACCGTACAGTCTGATCAATTGATTATTAGTCCTTTCTCCTCGTTATTCTTCACTAACTTCCGTAGGAGTTGTTGTAGGTTTCTTTCTGTGTCCGCTATCAACACTGTGACATCTGCTTATATCTTATGTTAAGATTGTGCCTGCAAACAATGAATCTTGATAGTTTTTCTAATACTCTTAAAATTTTCTCAATCAATAAGTTTAATAGGTACAGGCGAGAAGACATAACCTTGTCTTACACATTTTTTGTTTTGTTTTTTGGATATTCATTGAATTTCATTTCTATTCGTATGCAGATGATTTGCTACCACTGTATGTTATGACTACTTCTCACATTCTTCCCAAATATCTCACAGTTGCCTAGCAGTTCTAAGAGTTGTTTGTGACACTGATTATTAAACACTTTTGCATAATCTATAAAACACGTGTATACACCCTTGTACAAATTAACCGAAACAACCGCTTTAGTTTCCTTTCTTTCAACATACGGTCAGTTGTAGACCCACTGGAGTGATGGGGTGTAATCGATTTCTATTTTTTCCTCCGATTAGGTCATTTGCAGTGGTGTGCCGTAATATAAATCTATTTTCGGGGTGTATAATGAAATTTGTTTGGCCTTGAAAAATATTGCGTCATCCGTGATTGCATCAGGTTTTTATCACACCCATACACTATTGTCTCCACTGTCGATTAGTTGTCCTATGGCCATTGTCTGCAATGACATTACTCCAAGGAATCGTACGAATAATTGTAACGCTGCACGAACAAACTAGCAAACCTTACCAGTGAGCAAATCAAAGTGCTATAGACGGGCCATCTCCTGATTTAAATCCAATCGAGAATCTGTGGTCAACGCGCAAGGAACGAGTTGGCGGAATGGACCTACGAACTATTAACATACGAACTATGTGCATTGGGTCATGTTTCATTGAAAAAATACGAAACATTTGCACAAGGATATACGTCTTTTTGCCTTTCTATTGCTCTTTCTGTGTAATTTTGAATATAAATATATGTTAGTCTATATACTGTTACATTTCACCACAGCATTTCGGGAAAGACATCTATTTGATGCTCAGGCACACATCATCAGTGATATGTTTAGGGATTCACTAGGGGTTTCGGGTCTTTCAATATCATACCCCTTCCCCACAGTGAGCCAGCCGATACTGATCGGGCTCCGATTTCTGTGACATCCGTCAGCTAAGACTTTCCTTATTTTCAAATCACACTCTGCTACTCCTCTTGGTAATTTAGTGTCCAATCAGAGATAACATCTCGTTCGGCAGCAATTTAAGCTCTTCCATAAAAAGAGGAAGCAAACGCAGAAGTGGTTTCGCTCTTGTAAAGAATATGGCAATGCGCTAGAAGTAGTAAGTAACGATAATAGATAATTGCGAAGACACAAATATTGGTTGCCAGGTTGGAAAATCACTCACATTTCTCAAGAAATTCTTAGGAGGAATTTATTAATGTTGCTCTTAATGAAGATAAGATTTGTTCCCCTATCAACAGGATCTGCGTAAATCTATCTGTTCTTGTTTACTGAATATAAAAAAGACATTTTGAAAATAGGATTGATGAATATAAAATAATTAAACGCACGCATGAACACTCCCAGCTATAAATAGGAGCAGGTACTGCCTTTTGGAGAGGGAAGTTTCCAGAAGTCAGCTTTGACAGTCGGGCTGAACATTCTTGCTGTAACACTCTCGTTTGAATATGTTTGTATTACTGTTTCTGTTTATATATTTGTTTAAATCAGTTCCTCCCTTGTGTCTTTACTTCTGGCCCGAACAAGGCCCGAACAAGGCCCCAACAGAAAACGTATTGCTTTAAAGAGAACAGTTCGACAGAAAACTCCTACGCGGTGGATGCAGAGATCAAAATTATTATTTGGTCGATCAATTTTTCGGATTTGAGTCTCTCACTGTTCCGCACCCACTTCAAACCGAATTCAATGTAGAGAAGTTATAGCTTTTTTTTTTTTTATTATACTTAAAGAAATAAATCGATAAGTAATAACGAATTACTAAGTGGATCTGAGAGTATATTTTTGTGGTAAATTTAACAAACGTTCGGCTTGAATTGTTTCTCTGCTTGCCTTCGAGTTCACAAAGAGACAAACAGAAATAACATAGCCATATTTAAAAACAGAACAATGTCGATGCAATTATGGAGATGACAACAAGAAAGCGGAATAGAACAAAGAAAATAAAGGAATAAAATTAATCCTAGAAATCGTGGAGGTAAGGTTTGTGCTGAAGTGATTTAGAGTAAACCAAAAATGTGACTAGAAAAAGATGGAGAATTGCGCGTTCTTTTGAGAATGTTTTATTAAATTATATGTTTATGCTGTTTATTTTTTGTTATCTTGTGGAATTTGCTTTCAGTGAAACAAGAGACGGAAAAATAGGATGTCTTCAAATAAGGTTGTCAAAAAATAAGGGAAACAATGAAGCCTTAAACAGAAGAAGATAGACAAGAATAAAAGGAAAGTACCGGAATAAGAAGAACAAGAAGGCAAATTAGGCGGCGAAAAAAGATAAAGCAGATGTGAAGAAGAAAAAGAAAAGGAAGAGAGGTAAAAAAAATATCCAAAGAGTCACAATGAAAAGAAGAGACATGTTAAAAAAGGTAAAAGAAAATGTGAGATATGTTAAAGAAGAAGAAGAGGAAGAGGAAGAATATAGAAATCAAATGAAAATCAAGGAGAAAGTTACGAAGAAAAAAAAGAAGAAAGTAAGAAGAAGAATAAAGATAAAAGAGACGAAGAAACAAAAACAAAAGTAGATATGATTGAGAGAAGATAGCAAGAAGAAAAAGGAAAAGAAGACGCTAAATAATAGAAAAAAGAAACGAAGAATAAAGAAGGAAAAGAAGAAGTGATAGAAACAGAAAGGTAAAAGAAAAGAGTCAAAAATGAGAAAATAAGAAGAAAGACAAAAGAAAAAGAAAAAAAGAGTGTGTACCAAGTAAAAGAAAAAAGATGATGTAGAGACAAGAAAGAAAGGAAAACAAAGAGATAATCAAGAAGGGAAGAAGCAGAAGAGAGAGAGAGAGAGAGAGAAAGAAGACGTAATTAACAAAGAAAGAGTGAGAGACGAGATTAATAAAAAAAAAAAAGGTAAGATGAAGAAGAAATCGAACAGGGAAAAAGAAGAAAAAAAAGACAATTAAGAAAGAGGCTCGTAGAAGAAACCTAGTGTAAGATGAAGAAGAAAAAAGAAGGACGACGACGATGATAATTAAGATGAAAAAGAAAAAAAGAAGAAGAAAACGAAAAAACAGAAGGAAAAGGAAGAAGACGACGACGACAGCGATGACGAAGAAGAAGAAGAGTACATATATTAGAAGCCACAGAACTTAAAACAAACGAAAAAGAAGAAGAAGAAGAAGAAGAAGAAGAAAATGAAATAGAACGTATTAGGAGCGACAGAGATAATTTAGGAGACTCAGAAGTTAACGTGAAAGAATAATAATAATAAGAAGAAGAAGAAGAAGAAGCAGAAGAACAAGAACAAGAACAAGAACAAGAATGAAAGTGAAGGAATTAGGAGCCTCAGAAGTTAAAGCGGAAGAAGAAGAAGAAGAAAAAGTAGAAGAAGAAGAAGAAGAAGAAGAAGAAGAAGAAGAAAAAGAAGAAAAAGAATTAAAGGGAATGAATTTGGAACCTCAGAAGTTAAATCGAAGGAAGAAGGAATTACAGGAATTCACATGAGCGAAAAGAAAGATATGGATACGTAAAGGAAAAGAAGAAAAACATGTATAACGAGAAACAAGAACAGATGACAATATGGTGAAAAGAACAGGAAGAATATGAGAAAGAAAAATCGCTTCCAGATAATGAAACTCGTGGTGACGCACAAAATGACAGCGTGAAAGGACAAGCGCTGTTGATGATGCAAGCAACAATGAAAAAGAAAAAACGTATGAACCAAAGTTAGCTCTTCCAGAAGACAGGACGCAGTAATCAAAGCAAATAGGAAAATAGGAAAATAATAACATGCACGTAAAAAAACAGTTATGAAAATATTGCAAATCATTAGCTAATTCGACCTGGTAATTTGTGTCTTTTTGTCGTTTGCTCCTTTGAGTATCTTTTGCCGGCGCTTTTGCCGTTTTCCTTGCCATTTCGTTTCGTTTCATTGACTTTTGTTTTTTTTCTTTTTGATCGACTTATTTATTTGCAGTAAGATCGAGTCAAAGCTTCACTGTTTCTGTTTAACGCCAATATTTATTTCATTTGTTTCCTATCCTTATGGGTCTAAGCACGTTTCCTAGTTTTCCTTTTTAATGTTTCAGCTTTTCTTTCCCCTTTTTCAAACATTCCCTTTTGCACTCGGTCAAGTTAGGTTCATTAAGTGTGACAGGCAAGGAAATGTTCGCTAGCCAATCAGATGATCGCACGTTGGTTTATCATGTCATCAAAAAATTCTTAAATAAAAAACGGGATAGGCCAACACGACTTCCTTCAGTGCATTTGTACACGCTAATGGCAAAGCGTTTGCCGTATCTGATCATGTATTGGTCGACCTTTAAGCAAAAGCAGTGATTTTCAAATGAGAGGCATTTTATTGTTAGAATTCAATTGGGCAAATTAAATTTTATTAGCCATTGAGGTAAGAATATAGTTTTTTTTTTTCATATGCTTGTGGTGAAGAATACAATGTGTTTGCATTTTTTAAAATAAATACATCTGCGAATCTATAATCTTGAAAATTTATTAGGTGTCAATTCAAGAGGGGAAGGTATCGAGGAGACCTGCGATCGGAAGTGGAGCAGGGTGACCTACGATTTTGAGAATTAAACGGTTAATAAATTCGTCTGTTAGTGTTTATTTAGTCATTTGCGTTTAACTTTCTGGTGTTACAGTTCGTTTAACTTTTCAGTAACCGGGACCTCAACTTAGGGAAGGAATATTTGTTTTACTTTTTTTGCTAATGTTCAGTCAATACAAGGCCCAAGAGTCACTCAAGGCAGACGGTGGAATGCTATAAGCGCAAGAAAGGGCAAAAGAACAGCTAATTCTAAAGAGGTCAAGATTTTATTAGTGAACAGAATTTCAAAGTTTAAGAGGAGATGTTAGAAGTATAGAGTTAAAGTAGACTTTAGAAGCAACCATAAACTCGGTCCTAAACAGGAAACAAAGAATAAACCTCTACTCCTGTTCAAAAGACCAGGGAGGTGTGTAAACCGGACAATAGGCAAACCTATTTTCTCCTATCAACTCTTGCGTACATTGACATTCTATATCTTTCCGAATCTTGAACATAAACAGCATTATTAAAGTGAAGAATCCAAGCATTAGAAATGCGATTCCACGGAATTATGCGAGCCATTTCCTACATAGAACCCATCCTAAACGACGCAGACAAGAAACAGGCCAACCGAAAGACCTCCTGGCACTTGTGCTTCGACGCTGTGCTGGAGGTATCACGGCAATGTCTAGGTTGGACCGGCTCGGGTGTGGACCAGCTATAACAAGCCAAGACCAGCTATGACTAGCTTAGATCAGCTCTGACCAGCTTAGACAAAATATGACCAGCTAAAAAAGTGACCCTCACACCTAAAAATGTGCCCACATCTCCTGTCATAAAAGAATATCAACATGGACCAGGGGGGGAGTTATGCCCCGCAGTCTGTCTCATATTCCCTATCAAACAAAAAAGCTTTCCCGCAGTAACCAGGTCACTGACCCCAGCATCATCCCCCCCCTTAAAAAGATACGCACTCCTGTGCATCACAGACATCCGCTTCTGCCCGAACTTCTTATCCCAAAGCTCACAAAAGAGTAACCAAAGCCAATCCATTGAATCACGGGGAAAAGAAGAAAGGCAAAACTGCCGTACAATACCGGAGAAAATGTCTGCCGGGTGACACCGAGCCAAATAGAAAGGGCAAAAAATTATGACAACAGAATTCATGCTTTGAAAAACGTGCTGTTCATGGAGAGGTTTGGAGAAAAAAACATGGAGGACTAGAGACATTTTCTGGGCGTTGTGTCGTTACCGTTATTAGAACTGGCTCGGGGTCTCAGCAAACATGGGGAATCGTTGAAGAGGCTCTCAAATACCTTGACGTTACGCCCTTTTTAGCAATATGGGAGAATGAGGACGGAAGGAAGCTGAGGCAGTTCTACTCACGGAGGGTCCCAGTTTGTGTTCACACCTCCCTATACGGAGCAGTTAAGCTATCTTTTGCGTGGAACATTGGGGGTTTCACGATTGACGGTCACATATAGAATGAATTGGGCCAGGGTTCAACGGGTGAGGCCGTCGGTGTCCTTACTCCCGACAATGTTTAAGGCAGGCGGCCACCCATATTAGATCCGACAATGACACTCTTTTTAGCCAATCTGAGTGTCTAGGAATAGCATGACTGCCAAATGGAAATTGAACATATAGTTTTTCGGTGAGAAGGATTTTCTGGACCAGATTTTACAAAATTTAATGGGAAATTGAAGGGGTTCTTGGCTGGGAATACGTGGTGGGCTCACCTTAACGTTATCATTAGATCGTTTGCAGCTGATTATCGTAAGCCACTTAACCGAGATAGATTAGCAGAGTAATCGGCACAAGAATGTAGAGTAGGAAGAGCTATAAAATCGGGAGATAGTGAGGAAGTAGCCATAACTAGGGAAGAGTTGGTCTCCTTGCTTATCAAGAAGGACCAAGCTCTGGTTAGGCTAGATTAAAAAAAAAGAAGAATGTCTTACGAGGTACAAATATGGCCACTCGGGGTCCCATAATAGAGGAAAAAATTTGGGATGCATTGAAGCATGTCGGCTGAGACAAGACTCCAGGTATTGATGTACTGCTCAATAACAGTATGTGCAAGATCAAGAACAAGAACAAGAACAGCAGCTGAAACAAAAACGGCGTCAACAACAACCGCAACCCCTGAAGCAGTGTCAGCAGCAGTAAAACCAGCAGCAACAACAAAAAAAGACGCCGCAAGAACATGAGAAACAAAGAGATCAACAAGATCAGCAACAACAGCTGCATCCACTAAAACCACTGGACGACCGTATGGAGGTGTATGAGGTGCCACCACTTCTTCTTTGAAAAGGGGGAGGGAGGAAAAGCAACAGGAGGAGGAAAAATTTAAAAAGAAAAGAAGGCCGATTGTGACTGAGCGGAACGAATTATGGGGACAGGCTAAGTCCCAATCCGGCCCTGTTTCACAAGCTAGAAAAGATGCAGCCACAGATAAGACCAAGAGCCTCTCTTCATCACCAGGTAGGGTTCCTGAATCCCCTCCCACAACCTACCTAAAAAAAAACTTTCCCCAAGAAGGAGGGCATATGTCTGGTAGATAGAAAGGAGCTTGAGAAGAATATCTCCCAGGAGAAAGCATTCTTGAGACCCCTGTTCAAATTGACTTCTGTGGATTGCAAGTTGACTGGCCATCCCAAGAATTTTGATAAGATACCTGGGGTCATAACGGTAATAAGAATTTAAGATACAAGACCATGGGATTTCAACGCCGCAGCCAAGGACTCCTTCCCAAAGCTTCGGATGGCTCTGGATTTAGTTACCAGATGTTAGGAAAATAGCCACTGTACGGAGAGTTCCTGAGTTTTGCTCCATTCCTAATTATATAGGGCTTACGGACGTTGGCGGGATTATCACTGACGGACGGAGCACATCCAACTTGGGTACTGGTAGACTAGGACATGCCATCGAGGTCCTGAATCCTTTATATTATCACCCAGTCTCTGTTTAAGTGAATTCGCTTACAAGATGTCTATCAAGTTAACCAGCTTGAAAGCGAGGCGCCTGAGAGATCAGAGTAACGCTGCCCGCCTGCTTCGGGATCTCTTGTCTTTCGGCGTAGATGCATCGGCAATGCAGAAGAAATTTTGTTATGATGTTGATGCTGGTGTGCTGTCTAGCGATTTTGTGTCTATTCAGCATGGGGGGATCAGCTAGCCAGAAGTGTTTCCTTGTTAGTTAAACGTTCCCTGGGTGCGAGGTTGGACCTTGTCCATATCGACGCTGGGGGCCGGTTGAGCGTGGCCGATATTGCTGTGAGCAGTGGTTCGTTTTGGGTCATTGCGATTTATGCGCCTAACAATCGAGAGGAGCGTTTCTAATTTTTCGATCAGTTGGAGACGATCCTAGTGAATTCATCACTCTTAGTCTTGATGGCTGACTGGAATGCCGTCCTGGAAACCGATATCGACAAGGAGCAGAGAGCTAGCGAGACTTCATCGGGCGATCATAGCTTGGTTAATCTGATCGGCGAGGTTAGACTCTTCGATAGATTCCGGGTCGATCATCCGAGGCGGCAGATGTGGACGTGGACATTTAAGTGTCCGTCTCACTGGGTAGCCTGATACCTGGCCAGAATGTTTGTGGGTAGAGTCCATCTAGATTTACTAAATTGTCTCACGCTTCACCGTTTAGACTATTCGAACCACAGACTCGTCTGTGCCCGGATAGTATTAAGCGCTAGGATGGTCACTGGAAGTTCAATCTGTCTTTATTGAACAGCAGATCTTCCGGCAACAGCTGACGAGATTAGTGCAGAGGGAATTAGTGGGAGCGGTTATTGGGAATAAGTGGTGGGAGAGGCTTAAGGATAGAATTAGGTCCTTCACCATTGAATATAGCCATCGACTTGCCTTAGATAATGTAAGATCCTGAAGACTCTAGACGATAGTTTGTCCTGGGCGGAGGACGGTTGTGATTCTTTAGAGATATCACTAGCTAGGCAGGCTCTGGATGATGAGTCTAGTAAGTGCTACCAGGTAATTAGACCTATGTTAAACATTATGTCTAATGAAGCTGTAAATATCGGTGCAATGAAGTAATCCATCGAGGTTCCTATCGATATATTCGCGAGGTCAATACTCCGGAGAGGAGTACTCTGAGGTCGACCGATGGCATGTGTGAGGCCTTTCGGGGGCATTTCGAGAGCCGACATACTAAGGATCCTTTTCTCAGTGGTGAAGAGTTTTGCAGTTATTTGGCTAAGTTTTCCTTGGCTTAAATCAACTAAAGCGGCTAGCTGTGAGGGAGAGATCACAGAAGGCGAAGTTCACTTGGCATTGAAGAGAGTCGATAGTGGCAAGTCTCCGGAACATGATGGTCTGCCCTACGAACTGTACTTGAGGCTGCCGCACATCTTTGATCCAGTTTTGACTGTGGTCGTCAACAACTGGTTCCAGTAGGAGTCCATCCCCAGCCTGATCTCCAGGGTTGTGATCACGTTGTTGAAAAAGGGCAAGGGTTTTTTTTTGCGGGAATTAGATTACTATAGCCCATAAATCTGCTAAACACAGAGTTAAAGATTTTGGCCAAGATCCTGACAAAGCGTTTGCAGTCAGTTGTCGCGAGCTTGTTGTTGGACCTGAGCATACTTGTGATGTGAAGGGACGAACAATTCAAAGCAATGTGCACCTGGTCCGCACGATCATAGAGGGTGTAGAAGTTGACGAGAAAGCAGCGCTGATCTATTTAGATCTTTCCAAGTCATTCGATATGGTCGACTATCACTACTTTGCTGCTGTCCTTCAGGCCGCCGGATTAGAACCCGGCTTTTGTCAGTGGATCAGCCTCCCGTATCGCTCCCCCAGTGCTGTGGACAGGCGAACGGGAAGCGGTGAAGTGCTTTTGCGCTGACTCGGTCGGTTCGTAAGAGTTGTCGCGCTTACTTTACACTTTGGTGTTGGAGCCCCTCCGACGGCTGAGGGACAGGACGTGCAGTCCTATCCCACGTGGAGTTGCTGTCCATGATGGGGTTCGAGCCAGGTTTTCCTCATACGCCGATGAAGAATCCATTTTCGTGTCGTGTCGCAGCGACATTGATGTGATACAGAAGGCACTTGTATAGTATGAAAATGTCAGAGGATCAAGATTAACTGCTACAAATCTTCGTGCTTGCGGTTAGGTATCTGGAAGGAGGTCGCTCTTCAGGGGCTCTTTGGCTGGACTGATGGACCCATGCCATTCTTGGAGTGTGGTTTGGACCCGGATTCCAGCTAAAGAAAAATTGGTCAGAAGTACAGGCAAAGATCGGAGCGTTGTTCAAGATTTAACTCTGAAGGAGATTGTCCTTGAAAAGAAGGGCTTTCCTGTCATCTTTGTTAAGGTTTTTTGGGTATATGCCGTATATGACTAGTGAGCGAGTCAAAATGACTTATTTCCCTATATAGTCGACCAATAGAAGGTTGACCAATCAGAAGCCGCACACCATTGTATCCATCGTGTATAAAGGCGGCCATCTTTGTTTTGCTACTGGAATGACCAGAGGCAACTTGCCCGGCGAACAGGGCAGGCGGAAGAACTACGCTCTGCTAGCTTGCTGCGATAACCACTGCGAACCTGCACTACGCTTTCCTACTGTCTCCGAAATATTCACTGCCAACCTCTGGATTCTATACTCGAGGGACGACCGTCATGAAAATGTGTAACAATCCTTACACGTAATTCCTCTTTGCAAGGACATTAAGAAGTCGATCGAGCGTTTGTTGTCCACCGTCTTGTGAGGTGGTCAAAAGCAGAAGTCTCTGTCCAACGTTTGTGTCTGGGATTGTCACACCTAGTGAGTCATCGACACGTCAAAAGTTTGACTTTCCTACGCCGCGTTTTGACAGAGGTTTCGATTTTGAAGAAAATTGTTAGAGACGTCTTCCCTCGCCTTACTATCACTCCCCCGATTTCTTGGGCTAAGCGCCGGTGTATGCCCGGAAAGCTATCCTCAGTGAATGTGCAGCGGCCTCGTGGGACGTTCCTCGGTCAAGTGACATTTCACGGCCTCGTAGGCTACTGTACTGTGAAATAGTGGAGGGGTTTGCAAAGGAAGGGCTTTGTGGCCGGCTCGGCTTCTCGGCATCAGAGTTGTGATCTTTTTTTTCTCAGCAACCCTGAGTTTTCGCTTACCTGACGATTGACTCGGAACAAGTTATTTTTCAATGACTTAACCTTCAGATGGGGCGAGGCGGATTTGCCCGACTGTCATCGGTGTGACCTTGGCTTATAAGAAACTGCTGCGCACGTCTTCTACAATTGTCCTCAGGCGCGCCTCTTTCTGGGACTATGTCGTCAGATTGACGGCTCGTATCACTCCCAATCAGTTTGTGTCCATCGATCTCGCGTACATGCGTGACACTGTGTTGCTTCCGACCTCTGCTGTAAAACGGATGGTGTTTCGTACATTGCTAGCCGTGGCAAGGAAGTTGGTGAGAAGGTCATGAATGGTGGGTAAATTGCGATATGAGCGTTATTTTTATCAGGATCTGGTTGGATTCCTTGGGTATCAATTCATGATGAAGATCAAATCTGATAGAAAACATTTGATATCGACAGATTTCAGTGAATGTTGCGTGTCTCTTGTGAGCCTGGTTCATGTGAAAGGGGCTAGCCTTGATTTTCTCTTTTAAGTCCCCTTAATGCAACGGGGTAGTCTCTTGTGAACCCTCCCCTGGTTAAGTTAGACACTATTTGTTTTTCTAGTTAATGTGAATAAATAATGGCCCTGTCCTCTTCCCGGCATCCTCTTTTCCATCTCAAGATTCCCAGCATCCCCATTTTCTTTCAGAATCCCCATTCCTCTCAGAATACAGTGGCCTCTCTTATTATTCCGACGGGTGGATGGGTCCTACTAACATCTGTTTTGTTTAGTTGCATCTTTACTTTTGTTTTGAGGATCATTGCCTCCCCTATCATCTTTATTATTATATAAGTTTTTAAATTTGTTGCATTAAAAAATGCCTAAAAGAGACTTTGATCATTTCTAGATTTTTATGGGGTGATTTTGTAGGCCCCCTTTTAAGATGTGGTGTTGTGGTATATATAGGATTGAAAGATGATGGACAAGTTCTTGTGCTAATTGAGTATATTGTATTGAAGAAACGAGTCATGATTTTGATAAACTACGGCTAGGATAGTGACTGAGGAGCAGCCTTTCCCACTTCCCCTTCGGACTTGTGCCACATTTTTTTTCTATTTTTGCACAGAAATATCCATTTGCTAGAGGATCGGCTGTCAGAATGAGTGCTATATAAAAATTTCTCAGAATTAATCTATAGAAGAAGATAATATGTATAAAGGGAAAAAAAGACAATAGGAAATCTAGTTTTAGCCAACGCGTTTCGTCCAATGTGGACTTTTTCAAGGCAAAAAATGAAATGAATTTATTGAAACAAAGTATCTATAAACAACAAACAAAATGTCATTAGCAACTAGAATATATGAATATAAAATAGCGTTTCTAAATTCTTCGAGTTGATAACGATAGTTCTTTGTCGTTTATAGATACTTTGTTTCAATAAATTCATTTCGTTTTTCAACTTGAAAAAGTCCACATTAGACGAAACACGTCGGCTAAAACTAGTTTTCCTATTGTCTTTTTTCTTTTATACATACACTATATATATATATATATATATATATATATATATATA